ATTGTGATGGTTTTTTAACTCCGCTCTTAATTTACTTTTCATCTGGCCAATTGAATTATTAAAATATTTTGTGAAACATATGATCCGGGAAATGGAGTAAGAGTTCTACAACATAGTGAGAATCACATTTAAGTCCATGAGTATTTCGTTCATGGGATTAAGTGCAAATAAAGAGAGAAATATACTTTGTTGGGTGTAGAATTAGAGATTTCTAGGGTGACAGACTAAAAATCCCCAATTTGGTCTTAGTGTTTAAAAACTAAAGTGAGAATTAGCCTTCAGGGGAAGGGAAGTGGAAGCTCTAGAGAGGGAGCCAGTATCCTCTTAGCCTAGCCACGAATTTAGGGACCAAACCTAAGATTAGCTAATGATTTTCTATAACATTGAATTAGGGTAGAGAATTCAAATTGCTCATATTTTGCACATATAATATTTAATGTATCTCATTCATTTACATTATCTAATTCGCTATATAAGAATAGTAGTTTTTAACATCTAAAAATTCTCCAAACCAACTCATCCAAAAAGGGTTATCTTTAGAATTAATATTTACATTTAGTTATAGTTACTATCTTTACATTTAGCATTCACATTTAGGATTAGTTGCTAGATAAAACATCATTTTAATCGACAATCCAAACTAATGAATAATAGTAGTAGACTGAAATTTGACTAAGGACCTCTTTCCTCGCTTCCTCGTGGGATCGATATTCGGGGCTTAATCAGAAAGTCCTATATTACTTAAAACGATATGTGCCCTTGCGTAGTACCCATAGTGTGTGAACTATTTGTTATATTTCATAATATTTCAATTTTGTATATTAGCTGCTAAATATAAATTGGTTCAAGTTTTGGCCGTTTTTTGAAAGCTAAATTACTGCGTAATTATAGGTCGGGTTAAGTTTTTTGGCATCGTCTCGGGGGATTTCAACTGACATAAAACACGCAGAAAAACGACACATGCTTGGGGCGCACGAGCCTTCCGACCAAAGCACATCGATGATGGTCAAGGAGTACTCTTCCATCCCTGGGGCTTAGGGGAATTAGTGACCGACCTTTTTTTGTAAATCAACAATTACAAGAATTTGATGACGCTACTAGAAGATTTAAATTCTAGCAACGATGTCAAAAACTTGACTGCGACTTTATATATATATGGTTGATTTAATAAAGATGTATATATATAATATTCAATAATGTTAAAGTCGAATTTGTCAACACATCTTCTCTTATACCTCTTCCTTGAGTGAAGAGAGAGAGCATGTTTTTAAGTTATACGATAATGATAATTTAATCATTTGGTAAATAACTTTTTCAACCATATCCTTGATCATTGTGTTTTTTAATGAGTTTGTGGTCTTTAATGACCTCAAAATTCAATGATTTTATGTGCGTTAGATTTCCCTTGTCGAGACGCTCAATTTGAATATAAATCAGGTAAATTTGGAGTTCATTTGACCATTAAGCTATTGATTCTAATTCTCCAAAAGTGTTCTAATGGTTTAATACAGGCTTGATTGGTCTTAGATTGAATCAATTTCAGTCTCATCCGGTGTGTCTAATCGAGACAGTTAGTCTGATTATAAACTTGCTGAAATTGTCCCTTTACATCAATTTGAATTTGAATCTGAAACATTTCTTCATAAAAATATCTCGAGATTCGAGCTAGATGAAAAAATTTATTCATAACACATCATTATTCATAATTTTGGGGGTTGAGCTCGACTTAAATGTAAAATATCATGACTGAGACTAATTTTAATATATAAACGTTATTTTAAAATCCAAAAATTAATACATTCTGGCAAGCGTAAGAAAACTTAAGAGTTAACTTTTGCATGTATCTATGTATTAACTTCAATAAGGTAAATTTACAAAAACTCACTCACTTGCTTAACTTTAAAAGCTCGCTCACTTGCTTTGATAAGTGAGTTTTAAAATTCAAATTATCAAACTTCAAAATCTTCTAATCAGAATGCCGTCAATATGTCAGCCAACTAATCTGATCTTCTTCTACGCAACGGCTGGTGTCAACGATACTAGTAATTTTATTAACATCCAAATACAATTTACAAGTCCAAATCACTTTGTTCGATCCTCCTCTTCGCCAGAACTGGAGGCGACGGGACTAATATCATAAATATATCATATTAAGAAATTCCAAATGAACTGCACAACATAAATGTTTTAAATGTTCAAATCTCTTATTATGATGAGGTTGATATAATATTTGAAATAGAGGCGTTTTTTCTTCAAAATTAAATTTTAAAGTATATTTGAATAAATTCAAATGATCTAAATTATAAACCTGATCATTTATAAGCAATATTTTGCTGATCAGGTTCAATATGACTTAATGTGTCAATTCTGAACCCATCCTTTGTAAACAGAGTAGATTTAACAATGCTCAAGCTCAATCATATGTTACTATTAGGCATGATTCTTCACAAGCAAGTTGTGAAATCATCAGGGTTCAAATGAATTAAGAGAAAAAATTCTCTAATGATTGGCGAGTTCATAAGTTTCAACAAATATCTAAAGAAGTCCAACAACTTAAATTCATGAATATGGTCCTCTTTAAGCAAAAATAGAACTTCCAATGCTAAGATTCGATCATTTATTGATCTTCAGACCAATTCTTTACAAACAGTATGTAAAGTTCATGGGGTTCAAATCAAACAATCAAATCGTCGATGATTGTTGTTTTGACTGGATTTTCTAACCGTAAATGTCAACTTTTAGAATAATTTTCAATTTTAAGATTTTAAAACAACAAATCAAAGCACTAAAATTAAAATCAATCATTGGGCTTCAAACAAAACAATTAGAACATTTAAGTCAAAATCAATAATTTAAGAACTAAAGCAAATCTCATCTACCATCCACAATAGTTTAATAGGGCGACAAACATTTTAACAATTTTTAACTCGTAAAAAAAATGAATGTCACACTGAGTGTATCATTGTATTTACCCTCAAACTGATCTCATGATAGTGAAGGCATTATTCAAGTCCTCTGTCCACATGATTTGACCCAAATTATAAAAAAAAATAATTGTTACATTGGATTCATATAACCGGGTGTATGCTATCAAATGACATCATTATAGTACAGTCATGATTGCAATCATATGTTTTCTGGCGACTTTCTAACATTCAATTCATTAACTTAAAATGGTACATTTGATCTATAAAAAGGTTTATGTCAGCCAATGTTGACTTAGATTGCCCCATTAAATAAACTTACAACCCATATTGACGAGGGGTACTGGGACGATGTAGCATATGGTTGTTGATAATAATCATTCAGTCAGGTTAGGTCGACTGCCTCCTCTGACTAAGTAGATCAGGGATTACAACATCCCGAGATGATTAAACAATGAGATCCTGCTCGAGTTCATCATCATTTTCCTAACTATTCTCTTAAATCCCAAAATGATACAATTTTATAATCTAAATTTATATATGTGCTTTTACTATACGTTGAATATTCAATGTTTAATAACTAAGCTTAATGGAAAGTGTTTTCTTATTATTGAGAGGAGTAATTAACCACAAAAACTGTGTCTATGGGAAATCTTGAACCCAAGATTAAAAAGTTATCGTTAAGTAAGGGTGAAATCTATGGGCAGTGTCATATCTGTGTTCCAACCTGTTTTGCAAAAAATTTAACTGGAAATACTAAATAAAAAGCTTTTAACATTAATGAGAGTAAGGGGTGTGAATTTTTAGAGCCCGCAAGTACAAATGTCGAAATAAAGATTCCCAATAAAGGAAAAAAGAGCCCAATTATTTGTTATCCACTTGCTTCACACTTATTCAACTATGGAGGAAATCTCTAATGAAAATATTGATTAAATGATGATGTGACTAGGCAAACAACTAGACATGCGAAAAGTTTGAGCATAATGATCCCATGTTCATGTCATGTAGAGAAATATTCCTATAGAAATAGAAGATTAATTTTAAGCAAATTTTGATTCTCATCTCATGAAATCTTGCTTATTTCCATGATAACAGAGCTCTCTTAGGTGTTGTTCAGTTGACTGAATTTGTGCCACATTGTAATTATTTTGCAGAGATTTAAGAAAATTATGTACTTGTTATGATGAATTACAATTATAATATACCATATGAATTAATTTGAAATTTACACTGTAGTTCATTTTTGTCTGACTTTAGAAATCATCTAATTTGGCTAAATTTGAATTACACCGTTCCTGTAGACTGGTTTCGGCAAGCAACTCCCGCCCGTCGCCGCCTGCTGCGTCTTCGATGCCTATTCGTTGCTCACATGTTGTCTGTTGCCACCGCCCTCCGTCGATCACATTGTTTTCAATCTATTTAATGCTAAACAATAAAAACATAATGTGTTACATATATTTTACAACGAACCAAACAACTCAAAAGTATTTCAAATACAATGTAATCATATCAATCTATAAATTATTTACATTGCATTTCATTTCAACAAATCAAATCACCCTTACACTTCCTTCTATATTTCTTTCATTTGTCTAGCTCTATTCCTCGATGTTATCATTTATTAACCAAATTATATTTAATTGCTTTATTATTAGCAAATGTTATACATGATATTTAATTAAATAACAATATTAGAAGATAATTGCAAAATAGACAAACTAAAATCAACCATCAATAAAATCAATTTATCGAGCAGGCAATGCAATCAAATGCTTATTTTTTTTAAATATTAGAAAAATAATATAGGAAGGAAGAATAAAATTAGTAAATTATATAATTTAAACAAAAGAAATCATTAAATTTTACTAATATACACACATAAATACAATTATACATATCACTTTATTTTAATATTTATATTTAAAGACTAAATGATTTTTGAGAGCTTTCGATTCTCCTTCTGGACCTGCTCTTCGCTGTTGAGCTTGTCGGTCGAGAGCTTCGATTTACCCAGGCGTCAAAGATCTTTACGTCTACCATGGCAAGGTTTTCGGCTTTGGCTATCCTCTGCTGTTCTGTTATGTTCTTAGGCGTCGTCCGGTGCAAGACCGTGAAGAGAGATGGTACAGATCTACTCGAAATCTCAATCGCATTACCTAATATTTTCAGTATTTTGATAATGGATCTTGAAGTTTGGATATCGGTGGCCTTGTCCGCATAAAGGCGTGTTAGGGATTTCAGTTCCTGAGCTGGAAGTGGTGGGTTTACTGTCTTCTGTCTGGTTTTGGTCGGTGGGCGGTGGACGTTTAGGCTTATCTGCATGTGCTGATAATTTTGTTGCGGAGGGTTATGGTAATCGGAAAATTTTAGGTCTTGTAAAACAATCGCAAGTTTGGCTTGGAAAAAAAAATTCTTGAATTTGTTTATAGGCCCTTTAAGGCTCATTTGGTTGCTTCAAGTTAGAAAGTATGTTTTTAATAACGATAAAGTTTATCAGATTCATCATTGGTTGGAAATATTCATGTATTAATATTGATTTTAAACTACCTGAATCTTCTCAAGGCACCCTCAAGTGTAATATTTTTGTTTTCAGAGTTGAAATGAGTGAAAGCAAAAGAAGTATTTTTAAAAAAAACATATTTCAATTAAAAACTGGGTAGTTCATATAAATTTAACTTGTTCGCTGGAATTTGGAATTCTTTTTCTTTATAAGATTTAGGATTCACTTTCTTATTTATATATGTCCCTGTTTCCTTATCCTAAAATTTAAGAATTTTTTATTGATTGTTTATTTTTCTTATTTACATCACCCTAAGTCTATTTTGACTCCCATTGAAGCAGTGAATAGAGAACTCAAATTTATTCCATGATACTTAAAATACCATCCATTTCTCATCTTCCTTCATGATTTCCTCTATCATCTATAAATCATTTTTTCTTTGGATAAACCAACTATCTGATGATCCTGTTAGGAGAGTAGATCTTTTAGATTTCACTTATTTTAAGAAAGATAAAGGTAGACATAAAAAAACTTGGGCAAATTGTATAAGAAATGATATTAATCTTTTAGAATTAAATGAAAATATGACGCTCAATAGAAGTCATTGGAGAAAAAGGGTTCATGCAGCCGACCCCAATTAGTGGGATAAAAACTTCTTGTTGTTCTTGTGGATATTTCATAAAATCCTACCATTTGCGTGTTTGTTGTGATATTGACAAGGAAAGATCAAAGAACGGCTTATCAAAGCTACTTCCACTCAATGTGTCCTAAAGGCAACCCTTGGGAAACCTTCTTGTGCATCATTCCCTAGTTTATTTCTAAAAAATTTCTCAAAACTTATTTTATGGAGTTCATCTCAGAAAACTATATTGGGATCCCTTTGGCCCATTTCATGAAACCTCATGTCTATCTCGACAAGCTTGTTTTCCTCATTTGCAATACTTTTAAAATCTTTGAATCTCTTACAAAACACCCCTTCGATTAGTTCCAACACCATTTATAGCAAAATTAGGCTTTATTCAACGTATCCTACCTGCGTACATGTAAAGTACAATCAATGCGGCACAATGTTGTCCACACCGAGCAATAAACTTGTAACCTTGCATTTAATGCCACAATAAGGCACCCCACCTTCCCCTGCCCTGAATTTCAAAATTGTCATTCCTTCATATGCAAAAGGATGTTGAACCACTTTCTACCTCATTAATGTTTTGTTATCATCTTTTTACTCTTGTCATTATTCTCTACTGGCCGACCATCATAAAAAGCTTTTCAATCTATGCGTTATGTTCAACCATAAAAGCTCTATCATTGGGTCACCAAACACTACTAATCTTGGCCTATCTACTCACCTGAAAATAGTTCTTCAAGCTGTCACTGCCACCAAGGATTCTCTCTTATCTTTCATCAACGACATTTACTTAGATTTGACTACGAGGTTGTTGATTCCATAAAAAATGTTACTTTTAAAGCTTACAACATCTCATTTCAACCTTCTAGAAAAGACTTAAGTGCCACCATTTTATCTCATTTGATGTAATTATATAAAAGTTATACTTTTTTTTTTCTCGGATTTAAACTCTCCTTGTTGTAGCTCTATTTTTCTCTTTTGATCCTCTTTTGGTGCTTTTGGAAAATTTTTGCAAACACTATGAAAGCTATAGGTTATATTCAACTTATTGACATAACGTGTGTTTTGTTTTTGCTCATCTTGACAGTGAACATATGTATATGGACCAAACCTCTATAAATGTTTGTCTATTCCTTGTATGTTATTTTTCCTCTACTCCTTTTGAACTTTTGAATATTTGCCTTTCTTTTGATTGTCTCACAAAACAAGTTTTTACAGTTTTCACCTATTCCACCGATAATAGCTTAACACTTTCTTATGTACGTCTGGCTGGCCATTGAGAAATCCTAGGCCTTTTTTAGCTATTACCAGTGTGCTATGATTCGAGGCAGAAATCGGCTCGATTTTTCAGAAAAATTTGGGCAAATACAAATTTTCTTTCTCAATCACCAAATCCAAGCAATATAATACAAATACATAAAGATAAACATCCATTATTCAAAAGATTGGAAATCTCTCCCAAACCCTAAACTTAAGACTTACAAATCAATCTCATGCATAACCCTAAACTTAGATATAGCAAGCCTATTTATATCCAACAACAATAATAATAAAAGACCAAATTACCCTTAGGTGTACAAAAGACAAATTTGCCCTTTGGTTAGGCGCCCACGTAATAATCCTTCATCGAAATGACACCTTGTCCTCAAGGTGAGAAAAAGTGAGTGTTCCTCCTCCTCCCTCATAGCCGTCACTATTTCTTTATGCTCTGTGTCCTCGTCATCCACAATAAGGACTTATATTTTTTGATTCCTGGGATAAACTTCTCATCACACTAAAAACATAACCCATTGGTTCATTTCTCATGAATCTCTGTCTCTGTAAGACGCTTGAGTGTTGCTTCTGACCGTGGTCTATTATTTGTGTCCCATGCATCCTTTCTCTCAACTTTCGCTGTTTGAGCTTTTGCTATCGTCGTGGTTGTAGCAGTTTGGTACAACGTTCCATTGGTATTGCTCTTGCTGGTCTTTTTCACCTGATTCCTGTCTTGTATCATTTGTGCTAGCTCCATCGTGTCCCTCAATCCCTGCAGTCTCAATAGTCGGAGCGATGCGATATATTGGACATTAGGCCCTCCATAAAATTTTCCTCAAATCCTGTTTCAGAAATTCCCTCAAGTCATTTCAACAATAGTTCAAATCTCTCACTGCGTTCCATGACAATCCCTCCTGAGTCTAGGTATAAAATTACTCGTGTAGATCTCCTTCCCAAATTGCTCAGAAGTGTTCCATCAAACAATCATTGATATCTTATTATGTATGGATCGGGTATCTAGCATTCTTCCACTGAAACCAGACCAGAGTTTTCCCTTCCAAACATAACCCTACCGCCATGAGTTTTTCCTCCCCATCCAGCCCATTCACCGTGAAATATCGCTTCGCTCGATACACCCACCTTTGTGCGTCTTCTCTCTTGAAGATTGGAATCTTCAACTTCTTAACTCTAACGTCTCCACCCCAACTTTTTCTTCCTCCGTTGTTTCCCGCATATATCAAGGGTAAAACTCCCTCCTTCAATCGTAGCCATATCCCCTCCTTGCTTCTCTAATTTCTTTTCCACTCTCTTCCATACCTCTTGCATAATCTGATCTCTATGTTTTGGCCCAACTACCTCCCTTAATAATTTATAATCCACCCCTAATCGAAGCTCTGAGAGGGGGTTTGTGATGGTGGATCTTTTCCTCCTCATGTTCCTTACATTTGAACTCATTTCTTTTCAATTCGGGCAAATACCCTTGAGTCGGGTTTGCAAACTAAATCGCTGGGAGCGTCTTGCATTGTATCTCAACAAGTCTTTTTATCATCTCTCGAATTTCCCCCATGCTCTCGAATCAATCCTCCATTCGATTCTCCATGAAAGAAAACCTATCATCTATGGCGACGAACCTTTCTACCATCCCAAATTTGATTTATCTTATCTCTCCATATAATTTCTTCTCCAAATCATCTATTTTCTTAGCTGTCATTCTTCTCAGACATTTTTTTATCACCAAATGACGAAAGCACCTGTACGATTTCCGACGAGGCAAACGACTGAAAATTCTAGAATTTCAGAGTTGGCATTGTAGAAAATGATGGGGTGCGGTCACTCCGTGTTGCTTACCATCTACGAGAATCGGGACTTTATGCGAAGACGAGTGAATAGACAAAAGATGAAGTTTCAGATCTTTGTACGCTGCTTCACAGTTGCTACCTTCCCGGATAGCTTCAATTACGATAGTATCGTGTAAACGGTGTGAGAGGATGAGAAAATTGAGAGTTTCGGGTCTCTGTATGTTGCTTACCAATCCCTGCCTTCCCGACTAGCTCTAATTGCGATCGTAATGCGTAGCCGGCGCGACTATGTCATGCATACGACCACAATCCCACTAGTCCCTGTAAGCTGCGATCCCGCACCCGCGTCCTTGTAGCAGCTCAATCCGAACTTCCTGCACGAAGATCCTTCCTTCGAGAGCCACAATCCGAGCAGATAACCTAATTTTCCTTTCTGATTCTCAAAACGATGCTCTGATACCAATTTGTTATGGTTCGAGGCATAAATCGGCTCAATTTTCCAGAAAATTAGGACATATATAAATTTTCTTTCTCCATCATAAAATCAAAGCAATACAACACAAATCACTTATAATTCTATAGGGAAGCGATCTCTCTCAATTCCTTTAATTCGAGAGGTAGAAGATCTCTCCCAAACCCTAAACCTAAGACTCACACTCAATCTCATGTATAACCGTAAACCTAGACATAATAAGCTATTTATATCCAAGAATAATAATAATAAAAGACTAAATTGCACTTAGACATACACAAGACAAATTTGACCTCAGGCTAGGCGCTATCGTAACAAAGTGTTACAGTAGCTTTAGACGAGCCACTAAGAAGCAATTGATAGCCTCTTTACCTATTTCAACACACAAACATTGATCCAAAGGTGGTTCAAAAAACTACATGGCTCATCTTTTCTAAAAAACACCCATAATGACCTGGTAAATTATGATCAGGCCCTCGAAGAGTTCTAAATTTAAAATTATTGAGATCTGTTCTAGTTTGGTATCACATAACATAGACTCTAGCTTATTGAAGGAAGGGGAAATTATTTCATAACTAAGATTGAATGTTAGCTCTAATTCAGCTCACAATTTGGAGCCCGGCCAACATCAATAATCCACCAATAGTCAATAAACTACAAATATAAAGATGGATATTAATTAGGAGAGATTCAAAAAAAGGTTGAAAATTAGTCGGACATGTTCTCAACCTTTGTAGTAGATGATTCCTCAATAGCACACAATTCCATCTTGTATTGCATAACCACATTCCCACAATGACCGTTGTGGTAAGGGAATTGTAGTCCTTGAAGGTGACGTTGATGATAATTAAGAAGCATTTCATGATGAAGAGGAATATATGTTGGGTTTTTTTCTCAAAATAATTGATTTCTTTTGAAGATTATTGTTAAGTTGGGGTTACTAACATTTGACAGAAATTGAAAGCAAGAATTTGAATGATTGGATTCAATGGTTAGATATATACTTAATGTTTCGTTTTTGTGATTATGCACAGATGATTGCCTTCATCTTTTTGAAGCTTTTTGCTTTGGTTTTGATGTGGTGGAATGCGGTGCTTCAAAATCATGACACACCAAAAATGATGTGACCAATATTCAAGTTCTTTTTGAAGTCTCAGTTCCACTCCAATGGCCACGAATAAAAGAAGTGGATTTAATTGCAGTGATTAAGATAGGACTCTGGTAGTTGTGCATGAGTATACAACAAAATACTAGAAGCAAACAATTGCTCTGGATATTTTTTTGGAGGAGACCTCAAAAATCATAAAATACATAGGGTGATTCCCCAAGTTGCTCTAACGAGGATTAGTATTATTCCCAATTTTTAATCATAAAGACAAGCTTCAAGGTGATTGGCCTTGAAGCAAGAAGTAAGTCCAGCACTTGAGGGCTAAAAAAGAATAACTTCGTGGAAAATAAAAATGAAATAGGCGAAGAAAAATATGATGATAAGCCAAAAGCTAAAAGAATAATGAAAAATGCCTTTCTGTTTGCATTGCCATTTCTAAGGGCATATCAATATTAAACAGTAAAAAATTGACGGAGAGTTGAGACTGAACACGAGTGGAAACGTGATGATGATCTATATTATTGTACAGGAGAATGAAAGAATAGACGGAGCGCGAAAATTGAGTTCATGAATCACTTTTTTAGTTAGCAATAAGTAACTAGAGGCTTGCAGATGGCACAAATGTCTTATCGATGGCACAAATGTCTTATCGATAGGCACTTGATTTGCAAATACACATAATGGCTTTCGATTTGTAAATGCACTTAATTTTTTTTTTATATATGCAATTCTTTTTATAATTTTTGGATTTAAGTCTAGGTGTGGTTAATATGAAAAAGTGTCATATGAGCACATGTTACAGGAGAATAAAATGTAGGCCTATGATATTTTTTACAAATTGCAATCCGGTCTGTTATAGTTATACAAGTTTTTTTTTTAATGGTATATATTGCTTCAACTGTAGATGATGAAGCGTCATTGATGGCCAAGTTGGGATGAACTAACATACAATGGTTAGATGAGTGTATCTCTAAACTAGAAAGAATTGCTACGAAAATAGTTATATGAGAGGAATGTTGTAGTACATGTTGAAGAAGAGGCAGCGAAAAGTAGGTTTAGGCACATACATTGAAGGGTGGAAGCACAAATAAAATATTTATACGAAAGGATTAATGAATGGAGAAAGTAGTTTCATTACATCGAGTCCCAAGTAATTGGGACTCAACTAATGATGCTGCTGATGATGAAATATTTTCAATGTTTTTAGGAAATGTATCAACATTATCTTCATTTACACAATGAAAATTAATAGGCCATCAACTGTATAGCGGTTATTAAACCCTGTAGTTAATGCTCTAGTCGGGGTTTACCTACTATAATAATTGATTAATTAAATTTTTATATAGGAGTAACCAAATCGAAGTAGATAACTATACATTTGATATAGAAAAAAATACTTAGAAAATTATTATTCTTATCGAAGTTGACACACCTACAATTTCTTCACTATTATTAACCTATTGTCATACATTGACAAAAATGAAAAGTAATAGTCTAATTTTTGTCATTAAGCTGTTTTCATATTGTAGATTAACTTCAGTGACCTTGATATATGTATATATATATATAGAGAGAGAGAGAGAGAGAGATAATGTGTGTTTGTGTGTGTATATTCCAAAAAGTTATCCTTAAAAATAATAGGTCTCCTTCATGAGAGAGTTATTTTAATATTTGATTTTCTTTTATGTATGTGTCTTTATGTATGTATGACTGATTATAACGCAACAACAAATGCACATATTTGCACTCATGTATGTGGGTATTAAAGATGGAATATTTAATAGAACTTTATTGCTTTTTAAAATATATTGTTGGTTTCAGTTAAAGCATTGAATGAAATAAAGGCTTCACTTGGGTGGAGGGTTGTATATGCGTGGGTTGGAGATGATCCATGTGGAGATGGTGACTTGCCCCCATGGTCTGGAGTAACATGTTCCCAACAAGGAGATTACAGAGTTGTTACAGAATTGTAAGGATACAGTCTCTTCTAGTACATACTTTTGCATCTTTGCTTCACCAAAGAAACTTAAGTTTTGAGTTATTTTCTTTTTTATTTATGTATGATTATATAATTCAGAATAACATCTAGATTTAATATGTTTTCCTTGAGCAATATTCAAGGTTTTTTTTTTCTTAATGCAAACTGATGAGCAAATTGCTTTTCCTAACTTTGGGAAAATGATAACCTGAATATTAATTTGCATTGCTACTTCAATTTTAGGTAACATTCTGTTAGACCGGTGCCTAAGGGCAATTTAATGTTTTATTAATTATTATTATGGGGCTATTATCGTTAGGGTTAGGTTATATTATGTGATTATTGTCTTGAATCTTAGGGTTAAGCTTTGGGAGAGATCACCCACCTCTCGAATTATAGGCATCAGGGTTATGATTTGGGAGAAATTGCCTACCTCTTGAATTGTAGGTGCTCATCGTTTATGTATTCAGAGTTGTTTTGCTTTGATTTGGTATCTACGGAATAAAATCTTTTATTTTTGCCCTAATTTCTATGTAAATTTGTCCCTTTTCCTATCAAATTTATATAAGAGCAATCGATTTCTGGAAGATCATTAACGTGATCACGACATACATGTAAAGAAGCCTTCGTCTCTGTCCTTCCGATATCGATTGGATCGCAATTTTTTGCAAGCAATGTCGGATCGCGACATCATGATAGTCGGGATCGCAATTGAGTAGTAGAAGATTGTGATTCCTTTGTTCCTTCGCCAACTGGATTGCGACTCCTTTATTTTGGGAAGCCAACGAGATATCAATGTACAGAGATGGTCATAATTTGACCGAAGGGAAGCAAAGATGGGAGCACAGCTTATAGGGAGGACAAAAGGTTCATGGGTTGTGATGCAATTACGGTTTTTATGGGATCATGAGTATAGAAGCACGCATCCTTGGCCTAACATTGTGATTCGAGCTTGCTAGGAATCTAACCATGTGATCTTGGCGTATAGGAGTTCTGCCTTTTTGATTGAAAATCTTCAAGGCAGTGATGACAACCAAAAAACTAGACGCCATAGAGGAGAAATTAGAGAAAGAGACGAGTCAAATCAAATCTGAAACGAAGAAGTGTTTCTAGTCCGTGAAATGGAGATCCACAATCCTGAAAGAAATGATGAAGAAGAACTTGGAGTTTCACATCAAGTCGCCTCCACTCGTTGCAGGATCGAGCGATGGCATCGAGAACGAACTTGAGTAGCACCAATCTAAAGGATTTTTGCGACATCAAGGCAGCGCCGTTGCCTTAGGCGGATCTGAAGCCACAGGATTGAGCAAACTATTAAGGGGTGAATTCGAGCAACAACACTTGGAATGAATAGTGTGGCATCTGAATGGCTGAAACGAACGAATTTAGACGAGATTGAGCGGAGTCAGAAGCAGATTCAAGTGGCAACATCTAGAGGGATGATGCGACACAAGGGGGTTTAGAAATAGTGGCAGTAGATTGAACGAGAGAATTTGCGATTTGGGGCTGGAGAATATTGATTCAAAGAATTTCGACATGGAACATGGAACCCTAGTAGACGGCTGTATTCAATTGTGCTAGTGCCTTTTCCTATGACAACCTTCCAAGCGGAAGGCTATTCAGGAGTATTGATGGGAGCAGGATAGGTGGAGAAGAGCATGAGAGTCTGTAAGTGATAGATTTTAACACTGCAGAATATTAAGGAGGGAGACAAGATGGCGTTGCTTCACGGTTTGTGCAAGCTAGACCTTGGTGTCGGTAGATCCATCGAATGTGGCAAGGATGTTGGAGTAGCCACTACCTAAGATTGTCCAGGGTTGAGTTGGAATTTAGAGACTTATATGATACTACCGGAAATTAGTGAAGGGTTGCAATTATATTGTGTGGCTATTGACGAAGAAATTGAAGAATGACAATTTTAAATGGGGGAACGCGGCGACCCAAACTTTTGAAAAGTTAACGATGACCATGAGGAGTGTACCGATGCTGACGTCAGCTGATTTCTACCAACATTTCATTGTAAAAACGGATGCTTCGGGCTATGGATTAGGTACAATCCTCATGCAGTGTTAAAGATAACCAACATGTTTTTGAGTATTCATGCTCAAGCATTTATATAATGATTTAATGCAGAATAAAACTATATTATTCATTAAATTGTTGTAAGCTTAATGTGTTATTTAACTGTTTCTTTCTTACAAAATTCTATTAGATTGATATGATTGATAAGGAGTTTGTTTATAAGGAGTAGACAAAGTGTTGGAAATGAGCAACAAACTATTTAGTTTCTATACTTAGTCACTTTTATTTTTATCACTATGTCAACTTGGATGATCTTAAGTATCTTGTTAGATGATGCTTATTATACTTTGTGGATTAGTGACCCTTTTATAGTTGGATATTATTGTAGATTATTGTTACCGTTAGATTTTTATGTTACGATCATCTAATCGTATGTTCCCGCTTTAGTTAACACCAAGTTTTCGCTTCCCGAACTTGATCACTATTGGCATTGAATTTTCATACATGAAGGCATTTATGTCTCTCTTTCTCTCTCCTTCAAAAAAAAAAAAAAGAAAAAAAAAAAGAAAAAAAAAAAACACTACTGAGCTTCTTAAAGAAACTGAACTTCCTGTTTGTGAACCTATTGATTCTCTCTTGAAAACTCTACAACCATTTATGAATGATGAAAGCTACGAAGATTTTTTCTTACTGTCAGCATCTATTTCTTAAACTATCCATCTTTTTGCTCTTAGTTTGATACATCCTTTGTAGTAGGTGGAGTCGTCAACATATTCTAAATCCAAAGAATATATGCTAGAAAAATATCTTAAGAATTTTAGTATTTATTAAGAAATCTCCGGTGAATGGTCTAGTTTATCAATAACATGACTTTGAGGATTGAAGCTTTTTCTGATGCAGGTTATGTTGAATTTATTAAGGATTGAAAATTTACACCAACATACTGTGTATTAGTGGGTGAAAATGTCATATCCTAAAAATAGTAAGAATCAAACAATTGTAGCTTGAATAATAGTTGGAGCTAAATACAGTCATGATGTTTATCAAAACTCTTATAAAGGAAATTGGATTTCCTATCACACAACTATTGATCCTTAATTGTGATAGTCTGAAAACTATCTACATTATAAGAAATCATATCCTGAATAAAAGAAACAAAAATATTAAGTTAGTCTTATCAAAGAAAACCGTCACTTCTGTCTTCATTTACAAAAGTTCCTAGAGATCTTTATTTTTTTCATTTTTTTAACAAGCTGGAAATGCATGTCCCAATTTGAGTCAACGTGATTGTAGTAAAATAATTAAATTGAAAATTGAGCTTATGAAAGCACTTGATTAATGATATGCGGTTTGAAATCGTCAGAATTGGGGATGTTTTTCTTTTTATTTCTTTTCTTTTTGTACCCATCTTCTATTTTTATATATAGGTACCTGCTATCAATTAGAATTATAGAAAAACTGTATCTTCTAATATGTATCTTTGTGATCAAAGATAAGCAATCTTCTTTTGGGATATAGATCCCATTATATCTCCGAAGTGATGGATATGCCGTCTTTTATAATATTTGGTTTTGGTCATTGAACAACATGATTTGCAGGCTTATATTTGAATGACTATTTTAACTCCATTAAACTGAGCTAGAATTGATATTTTCATAGTATAGTTTTATTCTATTATTGAATCATTTTTTATCCTGATAGAAGTTAATTTGCAGGGAAGTATATGCAGTATCTATTGTCGGGCCTTTTCCTACTGCTGTTACAAATTTACTTGATCTAACACGACTGTAAGATTTCGAACTTGGCTGTTTTTTTGTTCATGTTAAATTGGTAAATTATTGTGCTCTGTCAGGGTGTGCCGATATTTGAATCTCAATATAGCACTATTGTTATTTTGATAATGTTTCTTGTGATTTGAATGCTTATCTGGATTGTCCAATATGCTCTCTATACCATTTGCTAAAAATCGAGTGTTCGCCCAACCATGAAAGGAAATTGTTGCTTAAAAATTTTACTTGGAAGTGTAAAAATAGTTTATCAAAGCTTCATTATTTATTTTTTTTATGAAATATTACTCCATTATCATCTACTACCATCAAAGTTGCAAAAAATAAATATATTTTAGGAGTTCAGACATACACCTCACTTGCGTGACTATAGTTGACAAACTGAGCATTGTCTTAGCTTTTATTAACTAAAGAAGCTTGGGATGCTTTTTCGATAGGATGCAGTTATTTTAACTTAATCTGATTTATATATGATGAAAGAGTGATAATCAATATTCAACTTTTTAACTTGCAGGGATCTCCATAATAATAAGTTGACTGGGCCAATTCCTCCGCAAATAGGACGGCTGAAACACCTAAAGATACTGTATGCCTTCACTTCTTGCTTTCCGCTCAATGTCTCTTTCATGAAACCTTGTTTATGTCTATTTTTCTAACAGTTAATTTTTTAGGAAATTTTTTGAGTTTAGATGAGCTATTACTTTTTCTTGTGGTTTGAAGCCACATATATCTAATTTACATTGCCAATAGGCTTATAAATGTTGTATTTAAAAGTAAATTTCTTACAAATACTTCCATGTAAATCACACAAAAAAATAAATGATGCAATATGTTGTGATGTATGTAATGATAATCTTGAAATACTAATATATTTTCTAATGACTGTACAATAGTTAATTCTTATAGATGATGGTGATGAAACGAATGTAAGGTATTAACTGTCAATATTTTGAACAAATAGGCTGAATGCCTTTTTCTTTGTTTTCATTCTAATAAATAATAGTATGTAGAATTCATTTTAGGTACATAATATTCTGTATAAACTATTTTAGGTAACTTAATTAATAAATATTCCTAATCTAAATATTCAACTAAAAAGAAAGAATCTCTGCAAATATAATATTTCCTTCTTTGCAGTATTTCAAATAAGGATACTCTTTATTCTGTCTGATTTCATTTACTCCTGATTGATATTCCCCTCAAGTTGATGCTTGCTGATCAAGAACCATCAATTTGTTGACAAGAAACTGATAACGCTGTCGAGAAAGAGTCTTAGTAAATATATCAGCTATTTGTATTTGAATATCATAAGTGATATGAGAAAGAGATATAATACTATCCTCATATGCTTCTCGAATGGAATGACAATTCACTTCAATGTGTTTCGTGCGCTCATGAAAAATGAGATTAACAACGATCTGGATAGCACTCGTATTATCTGCATGAAGAGGAGTAGACTCAAGCTGAGGAAAACCAAGCTCAGCTAGCACACCCTGAAGTCAAATGATCTCGTAACAAGTAGAAGACATAGCGCGATATTCTGATTCAGTAGATGACTTCGACACTCAATCTTTTTTCTTGCTCTTCCAAGAGATTAAAGAGTCGCCGAGAAATGTGCACAATCCAGTAATAGATCGGCGTGTATCAAAACAACCAGCCCAATCAACATCATTATAGACTGTTAAGGTGATAGGAGACTTCACCGAAAAGAAAAAACCACGATGAGAATTAACTTTCAAATGTCGAACAATACGTCGAACTGCAACTAAATGAAGATGTGTAGGTGCTTGCTTAAATTGACTAACTTGTTGTACAACAAATACAATTTCAGGATGCGTAATAGTCAAATAATTGAGACTTCCAACAAGTTGTCGATTTAGAGATGGTTCAAATAAAAATTCATCATCTTTTTGTTGATATTTGACATTTACTTCCAAAAGAGTATCAGCAGAGCGACCATCTTGAAGACCAGCCAAAATAATGAGTCCCTTTGTATAGTTGTGCTGATGAACGAAAATACCAGCGGGAGAAGAGTGAACCTCAAGTCTTAATAAATAAGTTAATGATCCAAAATCTTTCATATGAAAAGAACCCTGAAGACGCTTATGTAGCTGAAACATCAATTGATTGTCAGATCCTGTGATGATAATATCATCAACATAGACTAATAACAAAACAATTCTCTTGTCAGTTTTGCAAAGGAATAACGATGAATCATACTGACTTTGAATAAAAGAGAAACTAAGAAGGGTATTGCGAAATTTTTCAAACCAAGCCCGTGGAGCCTGTTTTAAACCATATAGGAACCTTTTGAGCTTACAAACATCATGTGAAGGTGTAGAAAACAAGCCTGGAGGAGGAGTCATATAAACATCTTCTTTGAAATCTCCATGTAAGAATGCATTCTTAACATCCATCTGCTTTAAGTACCAGCTTTTAGATGCAATAATAGATAAAACCAGCCAGACAGTTGTCATTTTAGCCACAGGTGCAAATGTTTCTTCATAATCAATCCCATATTTTTGTCGATTGCCAAGAGCTACCAATCTTGTCTTATTTCTGTCAAGAGAGCCATCAGATCGGAGTTTAAGAAAGTAAACTCATTTACAACCAATGAGTTTAACATATGTAGGACATGAAACAATATCTCAAGTGTGATTGTCTTGAAGTGCCTGAAGTTCCTCTTGCATGGCTTTGACCCAGCAAGTCTGTTTAGCAGTCTGAAAGTAAGAGGTAGGAACAACAGGGTAAAATTAAATTGCAGAATACCCGTATCTATTTGGAGGACGGATACGCTGAGTGGATCGTTGAAGACTTATTGGAGCAATTTCTGGATCATGGTCGGGGAGAATTGAAGGTGAAGGGGGCATGCGTCGTGTGTAGACAATGTCCAACTTGAACCGTTTATCCGCAGAAGAATTATCCAATTGTGGAACTATAACTGTATCTGGTGTCGATACATGATGCTGAAAGTAATGTTCATGTTCAAAGAAAATCACATTCCGAGAAATAAGCCAACGACTATTAATCGAATCATAACACACAAAACCTTTATGATTAGGACTATACCCCATAAAGGCACATCGTACTGACTAAGCTGCCAACATATGACGTTCATTAGCAGGTAGGTGAACAAAACAAACACATTCGAAAGTATGTAGCATATGATAATTAGTATGTTTACCAAAAAATCGATAGTAGGGAGAATCATACTTCAATTGTTGAGATGATAAACGATTATTGAGATAAACTGCAGTAGATAAAGCTTCAGTCCAAAATTTAGTTGGAACAGAAGATTCTATCAGTAATGTGCGCACAATATCCAATAGATGTCGATTTTTTCATTCAGCAACTTCATTCTGCTGCGGGGTATAGGGACATGAACATTGTGAAACAATACTTTTATTATGGAAAAATGCTTGAAACTCATGAGATATGTATTCACCGCCATTATCAGATCGTAAGGTTTTTATGCAAGCGGAGAACTGAGTTTCAATATGTGCTAAAAATGTTTGAAATACAATAAATACTTCTGCTTTGGAACACAAAAAGTAGATCCAAGTAAATCGACTATAATCATCAATATATGTCACAAAATATCTATATTGAGTATGCGAAATAACTGACGTAATCCCCCAAACTTCACTATGAATAATGTCAAAACATTTATTGACATGATTGTCTGAAATAAGAAAAGATAATGCCTTACTTTTTCCAAGTTTACGAATAGAACAATCAACTACTAAACTCTTATATGTAGAATGAAAAACATCACTTTTAAGTAAATGTTTCAACACTATATCATTTGGATGATCTAGTCTTTTTTGCCAGATGCCCGCCTTATTCTCAACAACTGAAGAAACTAATGACATATTCTGAGGAACCGTGAATTATAATGGAAACAACCTGCCCACTTTAGGCCCCTTCGCTATCACTTTCCTCGACACTTGATCCTGCAAAATACAACCATCACGAGAAAAATGAACGTCACAGTTATTATCCACAATTTGACTAACATAGAGTAAATTAGTAGATAATTTAAGAGAAATCAAGATATGTCTGAATAAAGAGTTAATATCACAAACTGTATTAATTGAAATATTATTTCCATCAGTAATCTGAATATGTTGAGTATCAGTTTACGGCCGTTGGTTATGCAATAAATCAGCTATGTCAGTCATATGATTTGTGGCGCCTGAATCAACAAACCAAGGAGAAGGAACATAAGTAATAGTTTTACCTTTCCCTTGAAGGCCGAGAGCATAAAAGGTCGAGAGAATCATTTGTTGAACCATATTTGGTGTGACAACTGATTGATTATTTCCAACAATTGTGGATGTCGAACCAGGATTGTGAGTGTCGGATACCGTGACATGAGGTGCATGTGGTTTGCAGTTCTTGGGTCGTGTATGACACTCCGTAAGAATATGTCTCTTTTTCTTGCAATAATTACAACGCTTATTTTTACAATTTCGTGCAATATGACCAAATTTCTTGCAGCTGAAGCACTGTACTGGTCCCTTCCCTTTGTTCTGAGCAGCATATGTCATATTAATTATTTCTGATGATCCACCTGTTGTACTAATAGCAGCTTGTGTCGCCCATCAATATGACCCCAAAGCTCCTCTTTTAAAAATTATTATGAGCTGAAATCCCATGCGGCATAATTCTTTCCTGTAAATCTGATAACTAAGATTGTAGAAGACATTCTAAATAGAATTGTCGTTGATCTAAATCAACCAGAAATCAAAGAAAGCCAAGATATCAAAAAAAAAAAATCAAATTGTTGATCTGAATCAATGTGAAAAGGGCTAGGGCGGAAAAGACAGGTCGCGGCGGAAAATGGCTAGGGCGGAAAAGGGATCGTGGCGGAAACGGGATAGCGGAAACGATGGATGAGCAAACGGATCGCGATAAAGACGGCGAAAGACGGATCACGACAGAGAGGATCCGACTAGGCAGAGGAGCAACGCTTTTCCTTGGACTCCGACGAAGTTGGACAAAGATGTCGTAGAATTCAAACAAGGACAAGAACAAGCGCTCCCGGTGAGGAAGCGGACAAAGATGCCGGCGAAGATAACAAAAGCTAAGAATACCAAGGATTTAGATCGATTCAAGCTCTGATACCATGCCAATATTTTGAACAAATAGGTTGAATGTCTTTTCTTTTGCTTTCATTCCAATAAATAATAATCTGTACAATCTATTTTAGGTACATAATATTCTGTATAAACTATTTTTGGTAGCTTAATTAATACATATTCCTAATCTAAATATTTAGCTAAAAGGAAAGAATCTATGCAAATATAATATTTCTTTTTTTGTAGTATCGCGAATAAGGAAACTCTTTGTTGTGCCTGATTTCATTTACTCGTTTTTTGCAGTATTGCGAAGAAGGAAAATTTTGGAAATACTTTCATGTAAATCACACAAAAAAATAAATGATGCAATATGTTGTGATGTACATAATGATAATCTCGAAATACTAATATATTTTCTAATGACTGTACAATAGTTAATTCTTATAGATGATGGTGATGAAACTAATGTAAGGTATTAACTTCTACAAAATTTAATTTTTATAGC